CCAACGATGAAGCTGACCACAAACTTGAGACTAACTTAAATCGCCTCACATACAAGGACCCAATACAAGTAGGCGACAAGGTTTTACTTCATCGGCCACACTCAACTGTTGCCCAATCCTCTCATCTGCCCTGGATAGGAAATTACACCATTATAAAAACGAACATGATGTGTCAGGTGCAAAACGACGATGGTGATACAATCTGGATTCACCGTGCACATATCCGACGACTGGCTCCCCGCCCAACACATCTTTCTAATACAATCCCTCTGCCTCCACCATGTAACAGTCACCAGGATCATTCTCCTCCATATCTCTCTGGGACACATAATTCAGCAAATAATTCCATACCAAAACAAATGCTAATAAGAAGAACACGAGGACAACTTCCCACACGCTTCAGAGACTTTATCATGAATTAATCACCCAAACATACACGTATAACGCTCACTGTAAATCAGACCGAGATCTCGGGGAGCCTTGTTATAAAATAAAATAAGACATATCTCGGCTGATTTACAGGCAAATACTCAAGAGCGAGAACCGGATGTGAACGGGACAAAGCCCCGTCACAAAATGACCATTATCTTTCTTTACAAATGTTTCCGACACACGTGTTCCGGTCAAAAAATAAAATAATATTTAAAGTGCTCTATTTTTCGTCCAATAAAAATGCTTCCCTCCTAATTATACTCGCTTCGTTTTTCGAGCCTGTTAAGCCATAAAAAAACGCTATAAAAGGGGTCACAGGGAATTTCAACAGGCAGTCAACAGGTGGCCACAAAGGAGACCGGTCACGTTCAGCAGCTGTCAGCAGGAGAGCACCAACCACCGTCAACATGTGTGAACTACTATGAGAGATCAACCAGATCCGAAAACCAGCTTATGAACTTTACCACAAGGTAGCTGTCCCAAACCCTCACGTTCCCGTTCAAATAAACCATGTAAATCTATTTCTGCAGTTGTCGTATTTCTTTCTTGCAACCATACGCTTGTCTATAACAACCTGCTCCAAAGAAGGCCAAAGTTGTTTCATCTGCAAGGAAGGTGATGGCTTCATGTTTTTGGGATTCAAATGGCATTGTGTTTATTGACTATCTTCAAAATGGCTGCACCATCAATGGAGAGTACTATGCCAACTTGTGGGGCAGTTATGAAAGACTATCAAGACCAAACACCCAGGAAAGATATGAAAAACTTTGAGAGATCTATGACAGGAGAAGTTTTGCTTGAAAGCACAAAATTTGTCCTCGCCTGACTGACTGTTCTCCATGCCCAAGCCAGTAGCTAAATGCCCTGAAGGACACAGATTCAATTCCTGCCAGAAAGCACAATTTTTTCTTTAATAAGATTTCTCCAACAGTAGATGATAATAAATAAAGATACTGCTTAATAAATAAATGGAGCGACTATGCAAATACGATTGTCCACTAAACATTTAAATGATAAAAATCTATCGAATTAATAAAAAATCCATTCTAAATTATATGGGAAGGTGGAGGTGGGTGGAAGAAATGCAACAAACACTGGTTACAATTTTGCATATATGTTTGTTGTATACTCCCCTCCACATTATGTAAATCTGATTATATAAATAGAACTATTATTAGTCTATAGATGTCATTGGTAGGGATGAAAAGCATAATATTAGAGGCTTTTTTCTCAGTTTATTTAATTAGATGCTTTTATTCTAATATATACATTTGTATATTGTATATTCCAGATTAGTCAATACAATAAAAATTAGAAAAAGTTAAAAATTAAAACGTGTCAAGTTATTCATGATAAAAATGAAAACATTAATAATATTGTTAGATGATTATATTTTTCAAATAATTTTATTAATGCAAGTCAAACTTGAAAGAAAAAAATCATTAAGACATTGGCAGATTTCCTATAATTGATGTTTTTAAATCAATTTTTATGGCCATGCGATGTAAAGATGGAATTTTTGCAAAAATAGAAATCTTATGAAAACTGACTTTTAACCAACAAAAATCTATATAATAAATGCCAATGTCAGTGTGTTACTGTCACACGTCTTCAATTAAAGGGACACAGGTCTCAATAGTTCATTTTCTTTTATATAATAAATACTAATGTCACACTTTTTCAATTAAAAGGACACAACTCAATAGCTCATCATCTATATAATAAATGTAAATGTTGCTGAGTTGCATTTTTTCAACTTCATTTCTAGAGGCTATAGCCCAACATATCATACTATTTTGGAATCAGGCCAACTCTGTTAGCAAATTAAAAACATTCCGGTTCGGATACAGACCTGCAATCCTGAAATTTTGAATTTCCTATGTTTTACTGTGATTGTTTTTGCATTCTGCCATGTTGGATTCTACTGATAGAAAAAAATTAAAGGGACACAACTCTCTAACTTTCAATAGCTTGTGTTCAAATGAAAAAATTACTGTTCTCAAATTACAGTGTTTCAAAATAAAATTGCCCGTGTCTTCAACTTTACTCCTAGAGGACATAGCCTGACATATCATGCCATTTTGGAATCAGGTTGACTGTAAGCAAATTAAAAACATTCTGTACTGGATCTGGACACACAATCCTGAAATTTGGGCTTCCCGCAATTTTATTACTGTGATTGTTTTTCAGTGATTTTTTCACTACAAAGTTTTTTGTATGATAACAATTTTTTACAACTTGGAAATAAATTTGGGAATAATCAAAATTAACTGGGAAATCTAATGAAAGTCACCTATGAAATAAAAACAATTGTTTGTATGGAAAGTAAGGACCTACATACATCAAATTGTCTTTAAATTTATTAGCAACAGAAGAATTATTGCTGAACTTTTAAATGGTAAGCTTAGATATTAATGCAATACTTAAATGCAGCAATCAATTTTGAGTTCTTCTGTAGTTTATAGTTGTCTACTGCATCTACTGTGATGAAGGCCCAATCAAGAGTCTGCTGCAGGAGCTAGCTTAAATGCTGCATGACAGGGCATCTTTTATGCTAGGGAGTTTTTTGTGAGCCTGCACCTGCTTTATGATCTGTATTTATAGCTTCCCTTAAGCAGGTGTGGGCTCAAAAAAAAATCCCTCGAAAATGCGAGGGAAATGCTGTCAGTGGTCAATTAATAATTTGTATTATATTTTGAATGTTTTCAACATAAGTAGAAGTACCACTCAAAGCCTATAACTGATTTTGGTCATTCAATTCCTAACTCTCAAGATGAAAGTCAACCTGACACTGTAAGCTTAGATGTGCAGTGGTGTAATGAATAATGGCTCAGAATTGCTAATTGGAGAGCAGAGTTCTAATTCCTGTTGGGTTTGTTATATTCACTTATGTGCAAATATCCTTGGGAAAAGTATGAATTCATCTCTTCCTGCTCCAGCTATGGGTTAATTAGGAAGCATTGTACCTCTTTCAAAAAAAAAAAAAAAGAAAAAAGAAAGTCTTACAATATAAAAAAATAATTTTGGCTTTTAATAACATGCAAAGGGTTGAGAAACCGTAAAAAATGAAACAATCAATAAAAAGCAATAGCAAATTTATGAAAAATTATTAATTTTTTATTTTTACTTAACAGATAGAAGAAAAGTTCAGCATTAACAATACTTTCAGTACTATAGTAAGTAATAGAAAAAGAAGAAGCTTAAAAGTAAGTATTTAACAGCCCTCCTACTCGGGTAGGATATAGTACAAGGTCGAATTTAAAGTGGGTTGGTAGTTCACGTGTACGCGGATGGGGACAAAAGTTGCTCGAGCCCACCCTCAGCACTTCTTTCTTTATTGGGAATATCTCATGCGTCAGGTAATGATCGTAGCCTCATCTAGAAGGAGCGGTATTGCCTGAGTGGATGTCTCCCTGAGACTTGAGCAAATATTCATTTCCAAGTCCAGAACCACATGCCAGTCAAGTGCAATGTGACACAAGGTCGAATTTAAAGCAGGTTGAAGTGGAGACAAAAAATGGCTCAAGCCTCCTCGGCATTTCTCCTTTTGTCTCCTCAAGCAAGAGCCAAGTAAAGAAAGACCCTAGCTTCCTACTGAACGAGAGGTAATGCACGGGAGAAAGACCCTTGGGGTTTGAGTGCATAATTTTTAATGTTCAGTTTCTGTTTAGAGTATTTGTTTTTATTACTCTTTTCACTTTTTTGTCAATCAATCTCTAGTTTGATTAAAAGAAAAAAAATCACTAACTCCTCCAGTCTTCATATTCATCCTCCTTTTTAAAAAATGTGTTAATTTTACATTTGATTAATTAATTCGGAGAGTTTAAAGATAAAATTAAATGAAAATAAAAATATACTCAAGACAAGAAAAACCTTACCTATTTTTTCTAATAACATTGTAGGACTCTAAAATACTCAAGAAGTCAGTTGTTGGATATCACAATTCAAGGGAAGCAACTCATATTGTTTACAAACACGTTTCTCGTTTTCTGGCGCCCGATTTGAACTTGTTAGGATATTTATTACTACATTTGGTTTGTAAAGAATAGACATTCATATTTGTCGTGATCGTGTAAGTAATGCATTTAAAAAACACAAAATCTTGTAGTTTTATATTGTTATTGTTTCATAACTTGTTACTAGTAAACTAAACATAAACGTGAAAATGTCGCCATTTTTTGATAAAGATGCTGTCTTATTTAAAAAAAAAAAGAAACTTTTGTTTGTAAATTCACGTTATTATTTTTTTTTAATTTTTTATAAATGTAATTGCTAAGAAATTTTAAATAACTAAAAACAGATCAGTAAATGGAAGAATAAAATAAAGAAAAATCTTGTTTTGAAAATCAACTTTGAACCATTTTTTAGCATCCATAACTCATCCCTTCACGTTACAATAAAAAAAAAAATGAAAATTCGTGTAATAATCCCCCCCCAATATTTGTAAAAACGTGTGCAATAAAAGAAAATGTCAATTATTGTATTTCAGAAAAGAAAATCTTCGAAAAATGACACAAAAGTTTAATGTGATTCGTTGCTTTTCTTGCTCAACATTTCAAGTCCATCAAATGAAGAAATCCAAAAAATGGGCGTGTAAAGTTTGTGGGGAGAAACAGTCGCTGATTAAGGTAAGAAAAAGAAATTTGATACGAAACTTTGAGACTAAGATTTAATTACAAATATCAAATTGAACAAAATATATTTAAAATTATTCTAAATTTGATAGAAATTGAAAGGAAGGAAGGAAGTAGTAAATAATAATGAAAAATCTGAGAGGAGAATCGAAAACTAAAAATAAATTGGGAAAAAAACAAATGGGCAGCGTGACAAATAAGAGAGCGTAAAACAAATACTTCTTCCTTAGTTACTTTAAACCACTAGATACTAATTTAAATTTAATAACTATAGTAATTTACTTAGCTTAGATGTGACACAAGGCCGAAAATACGGCGCACCCTGTGAGGATCGAACTCGTTACTCAGTCGTACGTAATTGATCTGCGATACAAGCGTGCTATATGTCATATGTTCATTCCGTCACGGACTAAAAAAAAAACGAAAAATAAGTTTTAAAATGAAAGTTTAAATTCAAAAAAGCATTTCTTTTTTGAATTTAAACTTCCATAAAAGATAATAATATGCTAATAATGGTCTTCTTACTGTACTCTTACAAATCTAATCCGAAAACGGAAAATTAATTTTCGTATATATAAAACTTTTTATTAGGCATTTTTAAAGTATTTAATACTTTTTTGTTTTGTCACATCGACTCATCAAGATGATAAAACGAAAAATCTAAACAACAAATTTTAAAAAATTCTCTTTAAAGTCCAAAATTTATTAAAAAAATTCTCTTTAAAATCCAATATTTGTGCTAGAGATGTGTTTCAAAGTCTGTTAGTAAATTTAAGGATAAATTAAATGGATTTTCAAAAAGTAATGCTTATGTTTTATTTAAAGCAGAATGAAAATAACATTTTATTTACGCACGCTAACCAAAAGGGCATAACACCTGTCTGAAATAAGAGCAGGAAAAATAAACATAAAAATCTAAAGACGAGCAGTGCAATAATCGAAAATTTGTTATTTATGTTTAAAGTAAAGCTAATTCCTCTCCTTATATAACCAGTAGTTTAAGAATATGCTTTTGTTAAATTTAGTATAATGAATAAATTTATTTCTAATTGTGATTGAACAGGAGATCTGAAATAGATTAATATCATAATACTCATCCCATATTGAATAGATCATTGATAAATTTCTTTATAAATAAAGTAAAAAAATAAATAAATAAATAAATAAATAAATAGAAAAAAATCATTGGGTTTGTTACATTCACCTACATGCAAATACACTTGGGAAAGTTATGAATTCCTCTCTTCTCCCCCAGCTATAGGTTAATTAGTATAACTTGTATCACTAAACCATTATCACCTAAAAAAATTATAATCTAAAAATATTTTCTGGCTTTAATTAACCTGCAGAGGGTTTATATATAAAAGTTTTATTTTTACTACTTAAAAATGTTAGAATTGAGTAAATATCTAATCATCTAGGTTGTTTTTTAAATACATATTCTTTTGAGAGAAGTGTATTTTTATGAAGGCCAGACGGTTTGCATAAAAAAATTGTTATATCTCTTTTGGTTCAGCAGTCAAAACCTGCCAAAATTGTGAAGGATCCATTTCCAATTTATGGAAAATTATTTTTTCATATATACTGACCAATAAGAGATGTAGTTCCAAGTTTTAGTAACAACCTGAATGGGGGTGGGGACCTTATGAACTTAATTTTCCAAATATATAGAGCTCAGGTCAGTAGATGCAAGGAGAGACCTTTTGATAGCAAGGGGACAAGTCAAATCAACAAAAGGAGCAAGAAGGTAACTGGTGTTTTCTTGATGTTAAAACATCAAGAAAACACCAGTTACTAACCAGCTGCAGAAAGATTAAAGAATTTTGAAGTTCAACTGAAAATTCTTGTGTGGTTAGACAGCAAAGAATGAGAAAGAATTCTAGGAAATTTTCCAGTGAATTTAAAAGGAACTTTTCTAACATTACTATATGTCACAGAGTCGTTTGTGGGGCAAGTAAAAGTAGGTGTTCTCATTTGTTCTTAAAGGTTGTTGCACTTTTTGTTTTACTGCCTCCTTGAATTGTTTTCTGTTTTTGTCATTTTGAAAAACCTTGTCTTTTCCCAAACTGTAATTTTTTCCATTTTTTAATGGTAATCTTTTTATCAGAAATTGTTATCTTGCCTTATGCACAGGTGCACAAAAGGAAATTTTTCTGCAAACTTTGTATTTGTAGATTTTTTGTAGTGTAATAAATGTGTTTTCTGTTTAAAATTTTATGCAATGGCTGAGTCTTGTTTTGCTATTTTGTGCCTATTATGACTTGTTTGTTTTTGTGTTTGACCCAAGAACTTAGATTTGGTAGGGAATAAAATTTTTATATATATAAACCACAGAAAATAAATCAATCAACTTTTTTTATTTGCTAACAGCATAGGATGTAATGAGGAACATTAACAATAGCAAAAAAAGCATTAAAATATATCAAATTTCTCAAAGAATGGAACATGATAATTCTGAAATGGGAAGGGACAATTCAACATTGCCGACTGAACGCTGCTAAGACATTTCAGGATTAAGACAACTCAGCACCAGAAAAATATGACTTTTATAACTGAATAAAAGTAATTTATAAGGATTAAAACTTTAATTAGTGAATATTTTTCTTCAATTAAGGAATTTGAAAAAGCATTATGCAAAATATGAACAATTTTTATTGTTTATAATTATTTTTAATAAAGAAATTTATTTTTTAATAAAGAAAATTGACATATAAAAAATAATTCTTGTTTTTAATTATTTTTTAATAAAGTAAATCAAAAAATGCAAAACAAAATGAAGCAGTTTTTTTATTATTTTTAATAAAGTAAATTGTAATGTAATTTATTTTTTAATAAAGTAAATTGACATTCTAAAATATTTTTATAAAAAAGAATTTAATAATTTACTTTATTAAAAATAATTAAAAACAAAAAACTGCTTCATCTTGTTTTGCATTTTTCGATTTACTTCATGCAGCAGGATTATAATAGAGGTACTTGTAGCCATTGATAAGATTAGGGACATAGTAAATGAAATCTCCAACAGTGGGTGATATACTGGAAGACTAAAGTAAATCCATTTTCATAGCACTGCCAGGTGCAAATGTATGTGATCTTAATCAGACAATCAGCCTAATGAGCCATATGATAAAACTTATCTGAATTTGGATGAATAGAGCACGCAGCAGAAATAGGACAAGAACTTTGTGTGTTCGTTAAAGAACAATGGATGCAGTATTTAAGCTCAGAATATCAGAAATAGAAATGCAAAAGGATGTATATCTATGCTTTATAGATTATGCAAAAGCATTTGATAATATATGTTACAAAAGTCACTTTATCTGAAATAATTCAGATAAGAATAGATATATTTTGTTTACTATTTCTTATTTTCATTCAGTTTATTTCAATACAAAACGGCTTCAAAGTCTGTCACTTTATTATTATTATGAAAATGTTAATTGCCCTACTAAAAACAGTTTTGCAAATTTCAGATTTATGGTCAGGGTACAGGTGCTGAGTGTCGGCAACATGTGCAGAAGCTGAATCTTCTTCAACAAGATATGGATGAAAAAGACTATCAGATGATTATCAATCAGGATTTCTTGGATATTTCAGAAGAAACAGATTGCCCTAATTTTACAAGTGAAGCTAATCGAGATATGGTAATTATGGAATAATTAATTTTAAATGTGATCAAAGATTTTGTTTATCTTGATTGCAATATCCATTCTTTGAATTGAAATCGGTTGATAATGTATTTTTATTTAGATCAGCATGGTAATATCAAAGGTAATTGTGGAGTGAGTAGCCATGGTCAAATACAAAATAAGTAACAGAACTTTCTGATAAAAAGAATTGATAAAGCTTGCAATAAACAATAAAAAGAAAAAGAAAAGGGCAAAAAATAATATAAAGCAAGCAAACAATATATGCAAGGCAAATTAACAATAATAAGGCAAAGCAACAGTAATATGGCTAAAAGTTCACAAACTAAGAATTGTGATTGACACGCAAAAGCATGTTCGGACAAGTGAATGTAGTACTCTGACTTTAAGACAAGACCAAGACCAAGTCAGATGAACCTGAGAAACAGCTTATTTTATTAGCTAGAAAAAAAATCCCAGCATGCATTTGTGTGCTTCTGCCTATAAAATGGGGGTAGTGTTTTGCAGTCATTCCCAAGGATTGACATTTCCATTGAACTAGTTTTTCTTTCTTGTAATTTCCTGTTTTTTCAGTGAAGCTTTGTCACCACAAAGTTCAATCTTTGTTTGCATTTGTGACCATGTTTTTGTTCTGCATTGTAATATTTTGTAGTTACTGTTGTACCGATTTTTGGAACTTTTCTTGTAATGGTGTGCTGTGGTGAGGCCATGACTACAATAGCTGAGGCTCCCCAGCCAATTGTTACCCAGGTGAAAAAGCCATCTCCAAGTCCATCTGTTTGCAATTCAAATAGGCCAAAAAAGGATGTGGCCTATTATGACCGAATAACGGAAGAGTACCGCGAATTTATCAAGGGAAACAACAAGGATCATCTCCCTGCTAATGTCAAATGTCAAAACCCGTAAATTGGTCAGTGTCAGCAGGGAGGCCATCGAGGAGGTGCTGAAATGTATTAAGATAGTCCTGAAAATTTTAGCAAAATGCTCAAATGTGATGTGGGACATACTACTGGCATTGGAGGAAGCAAAACATCTAGCAGGCAGCATTCTGATGACAAAGGTGCTACAGTTGCAAACCAAATCCATGGGTACCCCTTAGCAACAACAGCAGCAGCAGCAGCAGCAATCAACAGCTCAAAGACCAGCAGCAGTAACTGCCTCAGCAGGATTGGCAACAACAGCAGACAGAGTTGCCACAGCTGGACCTCTACATGGAGACAGAAGAGATGTCAGCGTAGTCCTCCTCATTGAAAAGGGTGTGGGATGAGGAAAAGGAGAAGGTTACCAAGAAGGAAAAAAAGTCTGGTCAAAGCAGAGCGGAGAAATCTGTCAAAAAAAAAAAAAAAACAAGACCCAATCTGCTACTACTTCTCCAGCAAAAACCAATTATCCAGATGCCAAAGTTAAGGCAAGGAGCCTCATCTCTTGTCCTCAAATGTGCCCTTTCTGGTACTATGTTAGTGAGTTGACAGCTTGTATCACTCCCAATCGGCTTGTGTCCATCAATTTTGCATACACGTGTGACAATGTGTCACCCCTGTTCTCTGGTGTAAAATAGATGGTATTTCTCACATTGCTAGACGTAGCAAGAATGGTGGTGTGGATGTTGCAGATGGAGGGAATCTTGCGTTATGAACATTAATCTCATCAGGATCTGGTTGAATTCTTTGGGCATCATCTCAGGATGAAGATCAGTTCTGATAGAAAGCATTTGATATCAACAGATTTCAATGAAAGATGGGTGTCTGTGGCAAGTCTGGTTCGCATGAATGGGGCTAGCCTTGATTTTCTTTTTTAATTCACCTTAATGCAATGGGAGGGGGTTTCTTTTGACCTCCACCCCCACCCTTGTTATGTTAGACACACTGCTTTCCTAGTTATGTATATAAATGTTGTTCTCTGCCTGCTCCTGGCACTCTCTTTTGTTATGATTCATGTTAAGATTTCCAGCCTCCACCCCCTTTTTTTATCATCTTGTCTGGGTCAGACTTTAATTTTCCTACTCCACCATTTTGTTTTTTCCTTCTCACTCCATTAGTGAGTGTGCTGCTTGATTCTGTTGAACAGCAGAATACAGCTGTTATTATTTTGAGGGTTGGGGTCGGGTCCTACTAATGTGTTTTCTTTTAGCTTGTTTTTGTTGCATTCTTTAATTTTGTTTTTGGGTTCATTCCTGTCCCCATCATTTTTATTATTATGTAATATATGTTTTATATATTTTTGTAAAAGAAAAAACAAAAACAAAAAGAGACATTTGATCTTTTATGAATTTTTATGTGGTGTTTTGTAGGACCCCCCCCCCCTGTGAATATGTGGCATTGTGGTATATGTAGGATTGAGAAATGATGGATAAGTTCTTGTGGTGATTGGGTATATTGTAATGAATGGATGGGTTGTGATTGTGATTAACTAGGACAGTCAGCGAAAACCAGCCTTTTCTCATTTTCCCTTCATCCTTGTGCCACAATTTGTAGTAAAATACAAAACAAATATACATTCCCAAGGATTGAAACCAACAGTAATATTAACCAGGGACATCTTGTGTGCAATGTCATATCTATGAAATATCTCAAGTCATGCCAAATTAAGAAAATTTAGGACAAGGACATTTCTCCTGGGATAGCTTGTCACTTGCTCCTAAATCAAAAGTTTTATTATCCATTTTTATTTTTAAGATCTCTTGAATGTCAATGTTATATATCTAAAATTAATAAAACTTTTTCATGATTTCCTTGACAAACCTTTTTGTTACTGTAGCCTTAATTAGGATATAAAATGAGCATTCTAAGCATTTTGTGTATTTCATAAGATTGTAAATTTTTTTAAAAAAATTAATAAGTGTTTAAAACTGAGCCTTATGAACTGTTTAAGTGACTTGTAAAGAATTAATTTTTTGAATTATTTTAATATCAGAAATGGCCCCAACATTCTGAAAGCAGCAGCAGCAGCAAATGGTCCAAATTCTTGCCCTGTGAAGTGGACACTGAAACAAATGAATTACAAATGGAAGAAGTTGATTATATAAAAGAGAACAACAAAGAGAAGAAAGCAGGCTTAGAGGAATTTAACAAGTTCCCTTGTCAAGAAAAAAGAAAGTAAGTTTTTTTTTAATCTTTCCTAATATTAGTCAATGTGAGTGGAACAATTTTGCAAGAACAGGATGAATAGCACATATGTGTCAATGGGAGACTAACATCAATCTAAATATACATCTGTTTAACATTCTCTTTTTTCTAGCCAGTGTTTTTCATTTTTTGTTTTGGCTTTTTCACTGGTTTCCACTTTGTGTTTCTATTATCAACTTCTCATGTGTTAAGGCCAACCTATCACATGACAATTGGCATTTACCTCACACGGCTGGCTGATTGTACCACTCCAGAAAGTACCTTACTTCACCTACCATGCTCTATGTCTACAAGAGGCCATTTTCCACTCGCAGCTGAGTTCAAAAGGGTTTGTGCGCCGTTGTGGGTGAGTGATGAGCTAATTTCCAACCTTCAATGTTTTTCCCACAAACAAAATGTTTCTAGTCTCTCACTACTTTATGACAGATTTTTGGGGTGAACTACCTTCCTTGGTTCCACCAGTCCCAACCTTCACAGCTAAGCTCCACCTAGCCATGTATACAGAGTTGAACTGTCCTCATTCCCTTTGTATTCCATTGGTAAGGAGGAAGTTCCACTTAGACAACTTCTTTTCCAGAACTGTTGCAATTTGGCATTCCAAGGAGTTGCTTCCCCAATCACTACAACCATAAGCTCTTTAAGTCAAAAGTCAACCATTTTCCATCCTATATATCCTCATAATATACAACCCTTTCTACCTCTCTATATGTCCTTAGAACATCACCATTTAGTAACCCTCTACCTTGAGTGCCAGTTAGGCATTGTATTGGGTGAACAATAGTAAACAGAAATCATGTCCTTGTTAGAATACAAAACAATTTACAGTAATCAATTTAAAAAATATAGCATTTAATTTTTTTTTCATAAAAAATTGTTTGAAAGCTAGTTATGATAAAAGATAATTAAAATTTATTTTTAAGTCCCTCATTGTAACAGAAATTTATAGACCTTTATATCTTTGTTCACTGTACATATTTCAAATCAGAGATGCCCCTCTTCATATCAACCACATGGTAAAGTTGTGAGCCTATTCACTAAGGTTTCCTCTGATGAGATCCTATGAGTGGCTTTTTTATGTTTTCACACAATACAAGGCTCAAGAGCTACTCAAGATAGTGAGTTACTGTATGTTGTATGAGTGTAAGAAAGGGCAAAAAGTGAAATTAATGGGGCTATACAGGGAAAGATAATGGATTAACCCTAGACATGAAGAGATCAAGATTGTATTGATTGGGAAAACATCGTGATGAGAGTATGTTCCACAAAGTAACAGTTCTTGGGAAGAAACTTACTTCTTAATATAGGAATACAAAGGGAATGAGGATGATTCACCCTTGTGTAAGTGGCATGGCAGGTCCCAGTTGCAAAAGTCAGGGATGGTAGGACTAAGGAATATACCTTGTCAGAAGACATGCCATGGAAGTAGTGAGAGGCTCACAACATTTTGTCTGTGGGAAAGATGTCGGGTGGAAAATTCATCACCCACAAGGCTGTGTAGACGCTTTTGAATTCTATCAAGACAGGGAAGTGAGGACTGGGTAGCTTCAGTCGAGATATGGCAGAAATACTCCATTTTTGATCTGATCTGGCATTTAAGAAGATAGAGTATAGCAGGGGGTGGGGTCAGATACTTACTGGAGCAGTACAATGAACCAACCATTTTTCCAGCATCTTTAGCAATAGATTGAATATATGAATTCCACTTAAGGTCTGGGGAGAACTTGATGTTCAAGACAAGGAGTCTCATTGAGAGAACACCTGTCCTTCATGTTAGGTGAAAGTTCGAGGTTTGCTAGCTGATGTCGAAATGTTACTGGTTTGGTTTTGGCTGTATTGAATTTTACAAGTCAGTCCTTTCCTCATTGAGCATCATTTAAATTAGAATCGGTGTCCTCTCTAGGTGTGCACACAAGAATTCCAATAGACAAGCTTATGGAGATATTGACATTGTCTATGCAAACAAAATACTTTCACTTGTGATCCAACCTAAACCAACAGGAAGAAGGCTTATTTGTAGATAGATTGATTGTACATATGAGAATTCTGCTTATGTTGAATGGGTTAAGTTTTTAAAATTTCAACACTAGTTTATCCAAGAAATATATGGCCTAGTGGGTAACATCCCAAACCTTGACTATAAGTGTCCATAGAATACGGTCTTTGTGAATTTGGTGGAGGTTGTGTATGTGTAGTAGCTTACTGTAATGTTATTTGTATTCATTCATTATGAAGTAATCCTTGTTTTTGCTCAGGATCTGTAACAATGTTTTCATTTCCAGAGTTGGATCCTTGTTTTTTTTCCTTGCTGTTGCAAACGTTCTCATCTAGATTAGCCAGTTTATTCTGCAGATTCCAATTTGTGTATCACCAATAATCAGCACACAGTAGACCTAACAGAAAGATGAATATTTTCTGGGAGCCTCTGTTTAAGAAAGAAAGGACCCATAACAAAAATTTCACCACTTGAATCATGACACATACAAATCCACCACCTGAGTACAGATATTAGGTTTAACCCTTTAGCATTCAACCCACTCCATAAATATTGGCTTCCAATGTTCAACCAGCCATAACCAGCCCCATCTATACTCTACCATAATAAATGCCATTTAAGAATGCTCAATAAATAGATTGAATAAAGCTTTTCTTTCAAAATTCAAAAAAAACAAAAAAATGTGACAATAGATACCTGAAGAGAGTAAAATCTAAAATGAATAAACTCTTCTGAATAAGAACTCCATGTATAGATGCAATTTCTCATACATATTCACTGATATGTAAGAAGAAAGATCAGGTTTTCTTGGTTAGATTCTAATACTGAATCTCATTGGCCTTGTATTTTTGTGTTGTCTTCTCAATATTTAGTAGTATTTATTTTAGTTCATTTTAGTTTAAGCATTTATATTTTTCTGAGTATTCCAATTTGCATGTCACCAATAATCAGTACACATATTAGATACTGACAACTGATAACAGTATAGCCAGAGATAGGAAGTGGTGGAGATCAACTAGGGAGGGGTTCTGCCAACATAAGTGAGGAGGCATCAGATTTGAATTTATATTTGCTTAAGTCTAGCTTCCTGGCAATGAAAAATACCTTCTTGGATTGTCAGCTTTCTATTTCTTTTCTTTAGATGGAATTGTGGCAACAAATTTTCTTTCTTCCTCAAATTTCCGTTTATAACAGAATCTACTGCATAACAATGAAAGTGAAAAGTGTAGTTGATTCACCAAATGCTATTTGTAGACCTAATTTATAATTTTTGTAAATATTAAGTTATTTTAAAAATTGTTAAATTCACTTGATTCTTAACTCTTTCAGTAGTCAACATATAGAAACAAAATAGAGATGAAATAACTTTGTTGGAAAACAGATATCAGTCACATCAATATACAGGAGGACAAAATGAAGACAAGGTGCAAATTTCAAAAAGGGGATATTACATTTTATTTACAAATATATTACAAGCTTATTTGGCATTTAGCAGGTATAAGAGTGAAAATGTTAGCATCTTTTGGTGATGACTGAAATAAAAATAGCTTTTCATTGCCCAGTCACTGTGTTAAGGGATTTTTCAATTGACAAATCCACTTTTAACATACCAGTCAAAGAGAGAATAAATTAAATGTTTTAAGAAAATTGAAAAGAGGAACAAGGAAAAATTTTTCCTGTATTTGTTATTTTAAAAATTTCACATCCAGTCAGTTTTATTTCAATGAAATGTTTGTACTTCAACTTTCAAATTAGATTAAAAAATATAAAAATGTATGATTTAAAAATCAGAAAGGCATTTATAAGAGACTTTTTGAGAAATTTTACTGAAAAAATGATCATGCAAATTTTTGCCTTTTTGTTTTTGATATTTTTCAATGAACAATTATTTTAACATTTGATTTATTTATTAGATATTAAAAAACATGATATTTTGTCCCTGTACTTTCTATTCATCATCAGGTGTTCCTTTTGTGGCTGAGAGGAGGTATATTTAATCTAGGTGTAATACAACATTAGAATCAATTCATAGATATTCCCTATAAGCCCTCAAAAGGGACATCTGAAGATAACCAGATGGTACACACCTGAAACATTGTATTTATTATAATAATCAATTAGAAAAAGGAGAACAACAGTTAGAATTAATCAGCATGTGACATTTTATTTTTTCTTCATAGTTATGTAGATTTTCTATTTTAGAATAGTTATTTTAAATCAAATCTAAAACAATGTAAATAAAAGAACTATATTGGCTGTTCTTGGTAAATTTAATAAAGTGTTTTCAATCCTAAAATCTTTTGAGACTACCTGTTGCATATTTTTTTTTTTTTTTATTTCCAGGAATCCTTTCTCAGAGATTTGCTTCAGAGATTCCTTTACAAATTCTGGTTATTTAATGAAAAAGCCAAGGACAGCTCCAAAGTGTGACTTCCAATTGTCTTCAGTTAATAGTGACAAAAGCAATAACTGGTCACACAATGTGTTGAGTGAGGCTCGCAATCCAGGTTCTAACCTCATCCACCATCAATCCTTTCCTGTTGAACAGTTGTCATCAAATGTGGATGAACTAGCATCAAATAAATCTCATACAAGTGACATGGAGTTGTCTAAAAGCAGAAAAGAGATTTCTCATATGTTTTCTCCATCTGAAAATCTGCCAAGATTTACTGCATGTAAAGAGACCAACATTAAAAGCTTTAAGGAGACACAGTTTGATGAAGAGGACATGTTTCAGGTGGCTAAACCTCAAAGTTGTTTTCCTGGACTTTGTATTGAAGGAAATGATTTCCTTAAGAAAGATTGTGTTGTAAATTCCTTGAATATTCAAAGTGGACATTCCAAATCTTTAAATTGTGAAAATGGGTTAAAAGATCCTTCCATTAATAACTTGCTTGAAAAAAATAATTGTGATAAGATCAATTTATCATCTAGTGTTAATAAACAAAAGACTATTGTAGATGGTCAGATATTACCTTTATCTTTGAAGTTATATAACAATAAGCAAAATAATGTCCCATACCAAAGCCATCTCTTTTCAAATAATTTGGATAAAGGAAAATTAGAAATTAATTCAACGCAATCAAATCCATTGAAGAATCTTTTTCAACTTGATGAAAGTGAGTTTGATCTTGAGTTTTGAACTTTGATTTTTATTATGCATTATATTTTCAGTAAAGCAAATCTCATTATCTCTGTGAGGATTAAAGTCATTTTTTTTCTTTTTGCTTAAATCATTGGCTAAGTGGAAAGAGGAAAATTACCAGAAATATGTATGGAAGTGAATTATAAAGTGTTAACCATAATGTTGATCTTCCTTTGATTAATAAACACTTGTGGTGGGTACACCTCATGTGCTACCCAGACCAAATCCTGTCTCAAATATGGTGATTCCAATCTGTAATTAGAATGGTCTTAGCATGTTTTGAGATATACATATAGCTTATTTATGTTCTAGGTAAATATTAATTGTATATTAGTACTGTATATAGTATATTTATGGTTAAAAAAATAATATCTTAGTAAAAAGTACATTTATGTTAAAAAAAATTTACTTGAAATGTGAAATTATTATAAATATATAATACTCATTCTGACCCAACAGGATCTATGTCATTGGATTTTACGAGCAGGATTTACCTGTTCATATTGAAAATCCTCAATGTTACTTTTGATGTGTGGATAATATTTGTGTATTTAATACTTATTTTATTTGTAATTATCTTAAAAATGTTTGAAACTCTTGCACTTGTTAGTTGGTTTGGTCTGTCATTGAAAAGAATCAGTGAAAAAGGAAGATTATAAAGTCAAGAATCAATCAGATCGGAACATACCTTGTTTTGATTAGACTTGATACTTCAGACTGGAAGACAAATTTAGTAAAAAAACACAGACATGTTTTACTTAACACATGCATGAGGTGAATGCTTTATTTACATTAGGGACTGTCTTAAAAAAAAAAAAAAAGAGGAGGAGATAACCAAAACTAAGAGCAGTTAACTCTTGGCAGACTGACAGTCATTGATAATTCAACAACCAGCAATATTCATCCATTATGGTTGGTTAAGACAGGCTTTGATACTGATTCCATCTCAGATGTGTCCTGGTACCCATGTTTGGTGCAAATTTATGTTCAAGGCAAATAGTCTATTAGTAGAAAGTACATTTATTTTTTTGTAGGAACCAACAGTAGTAGTTTATCAGGTTTTGGTTGATTTTATCTGAGATATAGCTTGTTGGAATCTTTCCCCATGTTCATCAAGATTTGTTGGGGAAAAATCAGGATGAGAATGCAAGAAATGCATTTTAAGAGACTCCTTGCATCCATTTCTTTGATACATCCTTAACATGTTGCTTGCAAGATTCAACAAAGTTTCATCTTTATAAAACACAAGAAAATTGTTTCAAATTAACATGAATGAATACTATGCTACCAGTTAGGAGTTAATATGTGATTAGAATGATATTTACCTTGAACATCAATATGCTATATGTATAAATATCAAAAGTTTGTCATAGCAGAGAAAAATGTTTTTCTTGCCCAGTGAAATTAATATATTTAAATCCTGACATGTGAGAATATTTCTGAGGACAGATTTGGAATAAAAAATACTTGATTTAATTTAAATTATACACTTTTACCCCTGGAAGTAAAATTTCCATTGTTTAGTTAAATTCATTAGTTTGACTAACTGCTGAGGATGTTATAACAGTTTTAAATTGGATACATAAATTAATAAGCAGTCAAGTTGTAAGAAATAGGGTTTTCTTTTATTTTATTAAATATATTTAGTAACCCCTTGTGTCTGAGTGGTTGTATTGCCTTGCTCGGGGTGAAATGATTAAAAAAAACTTGCTGATGATTTGTAAAGAAAACCCAAGTTTTACATTTACCTAAGCAAAATGTCATAACAGCTTTTCATTAATTGCCAGGGCCCAAAAAGCTTTCAAGGTTAAATATTTGTAAATATTGTTTGAAATTCTGGACTCAAAGATTGTCATTATTTGGAATGTTTCTGATTTTTATCAAAATTTATGGTTGAGTTTTATTTTTGGCTTTGATTTTATGTTTGTTTAATAATAAAATGAATTTTTTGTTTATACAGAGATACACCTTTTTTTCTTGTTGCATCCAAAGCCACATTTCTGCAAACATCTTCACATATTGATATGCATTGTGAACTTCTTTTGTTTTTAGTTTAAGTTGGGACAACATCATGACTTCATCCATAGGTAGCAAACACTGACTTGTATTGAAGAAAAAAGAAACTCTATTGTCTAAGGCTTAATAAAAGTAATATTGAAATTATATTAACTGGAATGTATTGTTAATCAGTTTTGTAATTTCATCTAATAACTCAGTATTTTGTTTAAATTTCAAGAAGGCACTTGGAATTTTTTTTTAAATTTCTGCTGAACTTGTTACTGAGTATTGTAAAGGGTTTATTTCCTTTTTTAAATATCATGTTTCTTTCAGATATAGATAATCATGTCTCTCCACAGCTCTTTTTTTTTTAGTACTACAAATTACCATAACTTCGAAAGATAGTGGAATAGTTTTTCACTGTCAATTTTCCATGGTTTGCAATTCAGAGTAATTTTTTTCTTAGATTGGCTGCCATCTACAGCTAGATAGCCCAGTCTACCCTATTATTTAACCCATAGCAGGATGGAAAATGGTTTCATACTTTTCTCAAGGCCATTAGCATGGAAATAAAAGGATACAAAGTTTTATTTACTTTTGGGGACAAGGAAGTCACCAGTAATTCTTACTTAAGGACTAGGGATTCTCTGTCTTTTATACAAGAACACCACATTACATGAAAGGATCAGCTGAGATATTTTTGTTAATTACTTGCGTATGTGTAAAAAGAAATTAGCGCCTTCTTCATGTTTTTTTAATTTTTTTGAAGATAGTGATAGGCTGCAAACAGTGAAAAATTATAATTCCTTAATTTTCTACAATTTTTGTTATCAATATATCATATTGCACTTGCAACAGTTTATACAGACAAACCTCATCAATGTACTAATAGGGGGAGGGATGTGCCTTTAAAGCCAATTGTCTGTTGATGGGAAGGGATTATTTTTGAGTTATAAAACCACTATAGTAACTACCAGTAGTTATGATCATAATGTAGACATGTATATATGGCATAAATAAATATATACTTAATATAGATATATTAATCAAAATAGCAAAATTATAGATTTCTCACAGCTACTTTATTATGCACATGCTAATCTATCGTACTTTATATACTGCACACACGTCTTTGCTTACAAATGAAAAGCCAGTCACCGTCACCAGGTGGTCACTTTGAGAACTAATACGACTCATTCCGCTAATTTTGAAATACATTACTGACGATTTGGAAATTTTTTCTGCAGATTTTTTTTTTTTATTTTGTCTGCAGATTTTGTCTGTTGCATCCAAAGTTTGTTGATGGGGGTTTGTCAGTGTATCAAATAATTTGGGTATTGTTTATTTTAATGCTTTCCTAATTTCTACACACCAAACATTGAGTTAGGGAATTCGAAAAGTAAGGGAGGTAATTCTGTGGAAATTTTGAGAAGTAGTTACAATGATCAACAATACTCAATAGTAAAATTCATGTCAGCCATTTATAATTTTATAAGAATTTTCTTCTAATTTTTTCCTTTTTAGATTTAATACAATAAATGAATAACAGTTGAATGAACACATGAATTATTATTCTTTATACAATAGGTAACATGTCTTTGTAAGAAAATATCTATATGCATATCATTATTTTGGTTATTGCTTACTTTTAAGGTTTCTCAGAATTAATCATTTAAGCAACAGTCTTTTTCTCAAAATGAATTAATTTTTCAGAAAGTGTGTTAAAAACTTCAAAGCCACCAGAAGAGAAAAGGAAGAGGTCAAATGTCATGAGAAAAGTGTGATAAAATCAAACTCATTCTATGTAATCAATGCAATCGGCTCTTCCATGCAAGAATTAATCTACTTAATCATCAACGGTATCCTCACAAAGGAAGTGATCAGAAAAGAAAAAATTAAATTCTTGGACACAAGATAATGGTGCCACTGTTGATAAATGTAGAGATTAAAGCAATTTGGCAGATGGATAATGAGAATTTGGAATTTGATCTTTTATATTAAAATAATTCGCACTAAAACAGTATTGTAAGCAGTAAAACTTGATCATTGAAAATATTTTACAAGAAATAGACTTTCAGTAGAAGAAAAATTACCAAAAAATGATAAATAAAAAAACTAAAAGTTCATGTAATCATATTGTTTCTGCCAGGGGAAGTAACTGAAAATTTAAAAGCATGAGTAATCTCCCCTTGAATTACGGGTACCTTACTTGAGAGCAAAATTGTTGCTAAAGTGATTTAACCTTAGTCAAATAAGAAATTGTGAAGCCAATGACATTCACATAGATATTTTCTTA